GGGGGGACCATGCCCCGAGGCCGGCCGGCCGCAGCATGGCTCACGGGCCCGGCGCGCTAATGCTCAAGTGCGTGGTGGTGGGCGACGGGGCGGTGGGCAAGACGTGCCTGCTCATGAGCTATGCCAACGACGCCTTCCCTGAGGAGTACGTGCCCACTGTCTTCGACCACTACGCAGGTAAGTCTCTGTCCTGCTGACTAAGGGGCTGATCCCGGGCCGGGAACTTTGGAGCAACTTTAGCTGAGCCCCCTGGCTGCCTCCCCTGAGCGTGCTCCCCGCCCCCGCCGCGCCGGGGGGCGGGGGGCCCCCCCCCCCCCCGACTGTGACTCTGGTTAACCCCTCGAAGCAGCTCCCACCCGCTCCCTATCTTCCCCCTCGCCCCTTCTCCCACACTTCTCAGTTCCCTGAGCGCCCTCCTTGACCTTCCCACGGTTGCTTCTTTTACTGCCCGAAGCCCCTGTGGGGGAGACATTTGGGGACCCTAGGATAGACGTGGCTTTGGGACTTGGGAGAAGAGGGGTGGATAGCGGGGGTCCACATTACACCTACATCTTATGCCACACGACAATGAGCTGGACACAAAACGGGGGTGTTCTCTTCCTGGGAGCACCCACACACCTCCCAGTGATTTGGTTAAGGAGGGTCCTGTAGGAAACGAAATTGCTCGACCTCAGGTCATTGTGAGCTTCTCTCCCCACCCCCACTTCTGTCCTTGCAGTCAGCGTCACCGTGGGGGGCAAGCAGTACCTCCTGGGACTCTATGACACAGCTGGACAGGTGAGTGTCTTGGCCTCTGGCCGGTTCCTTTGCCCCCACCCTTCGCCGTTGCTGTGTGACTGAAGGGCCTTTAGAAACTGAGGTGTCTAAGTGGGAGGGTGTGTCTTCCAGGGGCTCCTTCGGGATCAGGTTTTTTTCTTAAGTCAGCAAATTAAGGAAACAAACCGAAAAGAAAATGCAGACCAGTGTGAACCCCCCGGGACGTGAAAGTTTTGACTGTATGGGTCGTACTGTGTGTTGCCTGCGGTGTGGGTCCCAACTCCTGTTGCAAAGTGGCGGCGGCCAATGGTGAAGCGCTCTTATTTTTAGTTGCTGATGACCAGGTCTCCCCCCTCACAGCCTCTGTCTGGTCCCTCATTGGTGAGTGGTCCGCCTGCCCGAGGAGCCTGATTGGTGGGAAATGGCATCATCTAACATGATGGGAAGGCATTTGGTTCTGGTTATGTTTATTACAACATCATTGCACTCTGGGACTCCAGTCCCTGAAAACGTAATTTGTGGTGTTGCCAGAGGACCACAGGGAAAAAAGAAAGAAACGACAACCATCAGCCACTCCCTGGGGTGCAGGGAGGCTAGGGTTAAGAGTTCAGCATGACTCTTGAAGGAAGAGCTTTCTTCCCCCTGGAGGGCCAGGTGACTGTGTTTTCTTTGGAGAGATTATCGTGCAGAGAGGAAAGGAACACTACTTCTCCCTTCAGCCACTGAATAGTGTTTGCAAACCTGAAGGGCCAGGCCGATCTCCTTGAAGGATTAAGGCGCTTGTTCTTTCTCTCCCTCCCTGACCCAGCTTAGCCGCCTTGCCAGACCCACTTTCTTTCCTCTGGGGCTAAGATGATGAAGTTTTGCAGAATTCAGCTCTGCTGTTTGGCCTGCAGTCTCAGGAAGAAGTTTCTGTGTGTTGTGCAGAGTTGAGAACTCTGAGGACATGTGAGCCACTGAAGACCCGAGACTGGCTCTGGGGGAAATTCAATCACTGAACTGCTTTATTTCTGCACAGGGGCTTGAAAAAGAAAAAGAAGGGGGGTGGAGAAAGAAAGGAAGAAGGAAGGAAGGAAAAGAAAACTATGACCACCATAGATACTATATGCCAAATATGTTGTTTGTTTAGATTTGCCTTTCAGAATTGTACACTCTCAGATTCTATACCGAAGTCTAGGAATATCTTGTGGGTTGGAGGGTTTTTTTTGGCGGGGGGGGGGACTTGATGTGACCCTGATTTCTAAACCGTTAGCAGAACATCTGAGCCTGAAGAACTGGCTATTTAAAGGCCAGAGGACACTCCCTGTCATGAAGGTGCCCAAGCCAGCCAAGTCTGGTTCACAGATTTGGGGACCTGGTTTGGGTATTTTTTCAATGTCCCCCACCTTAGCCAGTTATGGAAGGCAAGGAGTGGAACTCAGCCAGATACCACCAACTTTTAAGTTGTGCTGTTGACAGATAAGAAGTTGATATTAGTTGAAAATAGAGTGGGGGAGAGTTTCTATTTTTAATTTTTTTTATACTACCGCATTTCATTGTTGCGGTGATCGCGTTTCAATCAGGCGCCTTGTTTAACAGGATGTTTGAACGTCGGAGGTCTGTTTATAGAGAGATCCGTTACTATTAACCATATGCCTATGTATGTACATCTCAGGGTGTGCAGCTTCCAAGAGCTTGCTGCTGGGATGAAGACCCTTGCACCACTCCAGTTCGAGGTCCTGGGAAGTGCCAGGATGCTCCCCGGGTTGGCCAGATTGCTCGTGTGCATAGAATACCTGAAGTTTTACAGTCTTTCTCTTGGTGGTGGTAGACAGAGTGAAGGTGGGGAGGATGTGATGGGGTCCTGTGCTACCTGATGGTCGGCACCGGTGGTTTTTTACCTACTGACTACTGGTACTTCTGATTTGGGGTTAAAGTTATTGATAATTCATTTCATTGGTAAGAAGTAAATTTAATCATTGTCAGACAACATAATAGGACCATTGTATCATGCTAAGCAACTGGGGAACACAAAAGAAGACATTTAAGTTAGGGGCCCACCCCTGCTGGTTGAGTGTATGTAAAAGTCTGGATCAAATGATTGTTCATGCATCTCACATAGATTTCTGTGTTGATTGTTAAAGCCCCACTTCTCTATGAATAGGTATTTGATTCCTTTTATGATACTAAACGTGATAAATAAATACATAGACATACACACACATACTTACTTGTTGAGGATTTTCAGACAGATAGACAATAGAGGAAAGACTATGGGCTTTGAGACCAGAACGTCTTGGGTTCAGTTCTCTCCCTTGTGTGTGATTCTAGCTGAGTTATTTACTTTCTCTGTAATAGTAAAATGCAGATGATTAGCATCTACACTGCAGAGCTGGAGGCTGCCTTAAATTCATTAACCTTTGCAAGAACAGTTGGCGTCCACAGTTCTTTGTATATAGTAGGCGTGCAAACGGTATTACAAGAAATTACTGTGCTCCGCAGTGGGCAGGGTAACGGGGGTGTCACAAGTGGAAGAGGACATATGTATCCTGCATGCCTAAAGTTGGTAGATTCTACTAGAGGAGTTAGCAGATGTGTGGAGCTAGAGAAACCGTTTCGGGTTCTGTGGAGAAGTTGAGAAGCAAGGGGCATATGTAGGTTTCTGTTGGTTCTTTTGTCCCAGAGACAGAGGGAGGAGGAGGAAGATCATAGCACTGGAAAGCATTGCCTTCTCTCCAAACTGTTTGCTCATGCGTGTGGGCGCTTGGCATACCTCCTTAAAGACAGGCAGCCGTGCCGCCCTCAGGCTGACTCTCCTAGTCCACTGGTTCAGTCTTGACCTTCTTGATGACTCCTGTCAAGTCCAAAGCAACAAACATCATTTGCCCAGTTGACATATTAGGAATCTACCAGTTGCGGGGTGGTGGTTAGGTGGTAACCTTTGGTCTTCTTGACCTGGCTGCTGTCACGTGACCTTGGCTGCGATTAGCAGGGAATGAGTACGTGAGCGTGTTGGACATCAGTCCCCACTCTGTCCCTTGTCTAGAGACATCTCTCAACGCTCAGCTCACTCACAAGCACTGCTGCTGAAGGGAACTCCCCTGCTCCTCTTGGCTGAGCCCCGGGGTGGTCCTAGGACAGCTTGCCATTTTGACGGTCAAGCGGGCCAAGTGTTTTGGAGTGGAAGTTGACAATCACCTTCCTCTACCCTGGGGGCCTTACAGGGAGGTCTGGCTTTCTGCCTGTCTCTGGGGAACTTCTCCTTTTGTGTCTGACTTTGGGCCTTCTGTAGGCTCTGCACTAGCCCTCTGTCTGCTCTGGGAAGGGACTAGAAAGGTGGGGTTGTCCCCACTGCCTCCACTCTTGGGAATGAAAGGAAGTGGGGAGCCAGCGGGATCTGCTGGCAGGCTGCACTCTGGCTCTGGGCTCCAGGCCTGATCTCTTAATCCTTGGCAGGAAGGCAGAACTTCATGCTCTGGAGAGGGAAGCGCTGAAATCCAGTTTATCCCAGATCGCAGAGCACCCACACTCGGGAGGGTGTGTGGTGGGGTGAGTTTGGGATCCCCAGAGTTGTAGATTTAGCCACTATCTGTGTCCAAGTTCACACGCATGCTTTCCGTACATCGTTGCTGTATCTGGCAACTTAAGCATCCGAGTTCAGGGTTGCATACATGAGTGCTATAAATATCCTTACTCCAGTGTCCCCTGGGGTAGCTTTTCAATGACAAATGAGATTTGCTTCACACTTGCCATAGCCCAGCAGCTGTAACTGCTTCCCCACCACCACCCCAGAATTTCCCTGGGTACACAGGGAGGCACTTCCTCCAACAAAGGGAACATCCACTGAAGGCAACAGACAGGTTCCTCCCCTCTTCTGCATTTTGTGGGATAGCACCCAAGAACTAGTCTAATGGGAGGGGGTAGGGAAGGGCAAGGGTGCTGCCAGTGCACCAGGTGCCTCTTATCTTCAGGTAGGGCTGGTTCACAGCACCTTTCCAGGTTGACTTTTCCCAGAGAGGGAACAGCAAGCAAGTGAGCTGATGGGAAAGCGGTGAGTCAGGGTAAGCGTGCATTGTGCAGAAGTAAGGGCATCACATCCCTCAGGCTCAGCTTCCCCAAGCCCCGCATTCCATCCTTGAGGGAATGGAGAGTGAGAGGAGCGCTGAGCTCCTTCTAGATATGCGCTGCAACAGGTGAGATGCGGCGCCGAGCATCGGTTTCCCTTGGTTACCCACTGTGGATTTCTTGTCTGCATTTTGCTAACCTTCGTAGAAGCTATTTATATCCCAGGCTGTACCGTATCACGCAGGCACGCTGGTTTCCTCCTCTGTACTGAGAAGGAAGGTGGCCTCTGTCCATTCATAAGTTGTTGCTGTTTAAAACACACACCATGTTGTCCTGCGTGGGACTCGGGTGGTCTGTTCCAGCTCCAGCTTGGGTTCACAGGCAGGGACCTTAGGGTGGGGGCAGTGCTTGATTCTGCCACAGATGGGCTTCAACCTTTCTAGGCCCTTTGATCAATTTCCAACATGATTCTCCCGAGGTCTGGTGACATTTCCAGTCTTTACTGCTTCCTGACAGGTATGCATGCTAAGCCTGAGCGCTGTAGACAAACCAAGTGCTGCCTCATCAGCCTTGGGGAGCTGCTGAAGTGGAAGGCCTCAGGGAGCTGAGCGTGTATTGCTGTGGGTGCCATGATATGGCTAGAGTTTTTTTGTTTTGTTTTGTTTTGGTGCACTACTGGGGTTTGAACTTGTAGCCTCATGCTAAGGGGCTTTTTGGAGAACTGGACTTTTGTGCTTTCATTGTGGAATTTGGGGCTCCAGGGAATGAGAGCAAAGGGCAAAGCCAAGCAGGTCTCTGTGGGAGTATCAGTTTCTAGCAAGGACATGTGTGTTGGCAGCAGCAGATACCCCGAGGCCCCAGGCACGGCAGTGATCCTCCGAAGAAGAAAAAAGCAGAGGCAGAGAAACCAGGCCAAAAAAAAAAAAAAAACTATAAATGCAGAAAAAAAAAATTCAACAATTTAGGACTGTGATAGC